ACCGGACCCCGTCCCCAGAACCGGACCCCGTTCCCGGGTCAGCCCCCACCCCCCAAACCCAGCCAGGGCCGCCCCCCCGGGACTCCCGTCCCGCTCCCATCCCGTCCCCGCCGCTAACCGGGACCGGAGAGGAGCCCCGGTCCGTGGGGGGGTCCCACCGGAACAAAAGCGGCACCGGGAGGGTCCGGGGCACGGCAGGCCCGGCCCGGCCCCGCTCCCCGCGCCGCCGGTGCACGTGGGGCGCGGTACCACGTGCGGGCGGCGGCGGCGGCGGCGGCGCGGGGCCGGGCCCCGCCGGCACCGGGAGGGCACCGAGCCCCGGGGGGGTCCCACCGGGACACGCGGGGGGGTCCCACCCCCGAACAGCCCACCGGACCCCCGAACCCGGGGCTCTCCCACCGGCGGGGGTCGCCCGGTCCCACCCGCCCCCCCCCCCCCCCCCCCCCCCCCCCCCCCCCCCCCCCCCCCCCCCCCCCCCCCCCCCCCCCCCCCCCCGCACTCACGGTTGGCGATGTCCCCCCCCATCTTGTACTTGGTCACCACCAGGTCCTCGGCGATGGTGAGCTCGGCGGCCTCCTCCTCTCCCGACATGGTGGGAGCCCCCCGGAGCCCTCCCGGTGCCCCCCCGGGCCTGCTGGAGCCGCCCCCCCCCCCCGGTGCTGAGGGAGCCCCGGGACCGCGAGACCGGAGGCGCGAGCAGGGCAGAGCGCGGGCTCCGCGCGGGGCACGCTGGGAACGCCAGGCCTCCACGCCCCCCTGGACTACAACTCCCATCACCCCCCGCGGGCAAACCCAGCCCCCGGACGGGAGCGCGCTGCGCCGCGCCCACCCTCGCGCTGCGGACTGCAACTCCCGGCGTGCAGCGCGGCTCTCGCGAGAAGGGGTGGGGGGTGAGAGCGGAAGCGGCGCGCGGGGGGCGATGGGGGTTGTAGGCGGAAGTGCCGGTGCGGAATTTCGGTGCCGGGACGCCGCCGGGACCGGTCGTTCTGCTCCTCCCTCCGCCAGCGCTTCCTCGCCACGTTCCTGGGCTCAACCCTGCAGCAACGCTCCCACTCACAGCCCCCAGCCCCGCCGCGCCCGTCCCATTCAACCCCCCCCAACCCCAGCACCGGCACCGCGGCCACACCGGGGCCGGTCCCCGCTCTCGGTCCCCGGTGTTCCCGGACCGTGACACCGGAGCCACCCACCGGCATCACCCCCACGGTCCCAACACCACAGGACACCCCGGTCCGGTGCTCCCCTCGACCTCCGTGACCCCCCCCCAAGCACCGGTACCGGTACCGGGGGCTGCCGGTGTCCCGGAGCCCGGTCCCGGTGTCCCCCCCGGTGTCCCCCCGGGTGTCCCCGGTCCAGCCCCTCCGAGGTTTTAACTAAATTCTTTTATTTTCATTTATTTCCATCACGCGCGACCCCCCCCACGGGACCGGGGGCGATCCCTGAACGGGGGTTGCAACCCCCCCCCCAAAACCGGGAAACCCCCGAAAAACCGGGAGAAACACCCCAAAAACGGGACCCCGGGTGACGTCAGGGGAGGGGGACACCCCAAAAAGGGATCCCGGGGGTCCCTCGTGGGGGGGACACCCCAAAACCTTCACTCAGCAGGGAATGGGGAGCCTGGAAATGAGTCGGGGGTCCTTCAGAAATCCCGTCCGGCACCCGCGGGTGGGGCCAGGGACCCCCAAGGGACCCCCAAAAATTTGGGGAGCACCTTCAGTGAATGGGGGGGGAGGAATCAACGATGGGAGGGGGATCCTGGGAGTCTCCGCTGCCCCCTCCCCACCTGGGCGTGCTCAGTCTCACCCCCCCATCCCTAAAAAAAAACCCAAAAAATCCAAAAAAAAACCCAAAAAAATCAAAGCGAGGAGAAGCCAAAAAAGCGCTGAAACCCCACCTGGGGGGATCCTTCATATCCGATGGGAACCCCCCGAATTTGGGGGGGTTTTGGGGGGTCTCGGGGGCTTAAATCAAGATGGGAGGGGAATCCCGGGGGTCTCCGCTGCCCCCTCCCCACCTGGGCGTGCTCGAGACCCCCCCAAAATAAAACGAAAAAACAAAATACCCCAAAAAAATCAAAGTGAGGAGAGACCGAAAAGGCGCTGAAACCCCACCCGGGGGGGATCCTTCACATCCGATGGGAACCCCCGGAATTTGGGGGAGGGTCTCGGATGGAGGGGGGCGTTCGGGGGTCTCAAGGGCGGAAATCAACGATGGGAGGGGGATCCCGGGGGTCTCCTCTGCCCCCTCCCCACCTGGGCGTGCTCGAGACCCCCCCAAAATAAAACTAAAAAACAAAAATACCCAAAAAAAAATCAAAAATCAAAGCGAGGAGAGACGGAAAAAGGACTCAAACCCCACCCGGGGGGGATCCTTCGCATCCGATGGGAACCCCCCGAATTTGGGGGAGGGTCTCGGATGGAGGGGGACGTTTCGGGGGTCTCAAGGGGGTAAATCAAGATGGGAGGGGAATCCCGGGGGTCTCCGCTGCCCCCTCCCCACCTGGGCGTGCTCAGCCTCAATCCCCACCCCTAAAAAAAACCCCAAAAAATCAAAAATCAAAGCGAGAAGAGACCGAAAAGGCGCTGAAACCCCACCCGGGGGGGATCCTTCACATCCGATGGGAACCCCCGGAATTTGGGGGAGGGTCTCGCATGCAGGGGGGCGTTCGGGGGTCTCAAGGGGGTCCCCTACGTCCGCCGGGCATCGCTTTTGGCGAAGAGGCGGCTGTGCCAGTAGTCGGGGTTGTCGAAGGCGCAGTCCGACGCTTCCAGGCTCCGCAG